AAAATACAAATAGATGCTTAATTAATTTTATTTTCATATCAGCTGAACTAAGAAGGACAGAACTGGCCTAGTGAACTTGATTGTCTTTATTGGTTTTCATGTTTCCCTTAGGATTTGAAATATTATTTTGGACTTTCAAAAAGGATTTTCTTAAACTTTCATTAGTTTTCTGCGGTAGAACTTCACAGCATTATGAACGAAACTATACGTATAATGATATGCAGTAAATTGCTGGTACATAAAACCAAACACTTTTAAATTCATTTTTTGTTGCTTTCTAATCAAACTGTTAACACACTTCATTTTAACCAAGAAATAATTTTCTTTCCATCTTAAAGTCATTGAGAGAAATTATAAAGATCTCAGAAAAAAAGAACAAATGCTAACTTTTCATAATGATTCATGGTGAGAATTACAAGCATGACCACTTTCTGGGAGAAAATCATGCATGTGATTAGTTTACTTCTTTAAAGTACACGTTGCAAAATGGGAGTGGTTTATGGGCTCTGTGAGAAGGGCAGGTTGGCTAGTTACACAGGTGGGAAAAAGAGGTTTATAAAGTTTCCAAGGTTCTTCCTGCACTGAGCAAGTACATTGTGAGATTCTAAAATAAGGGATGGATTCTGAGGTAGCCCTGGCACTTACTTGACCAAAGAATTCTTCTTTCCCCTCCAAAGGTATCTTAAGAGATGCAACTGAGAAACACTGATCTATGCAGAATGACCCAAGTCTTCTGTACTTAATGAATATATATATATATATATGTATATATATATATATATATAAAATTTTATTTATTTATTGACCAAGAATCAAACTCACAACCTTGCACTTCCCAGGTAGGCACTGTGCCTCTGAGCTATATCTCTGGCCCCATATTTTCTGTTTTTTAAAAGAAGGCTTTCTGCACCATGAGGCTGTCGGCCTTAACTTTTTGCTTTTTGCAATGTTCTTGGGCCCTGAGGAGTCTCCTCCATGTCTGGAAAGCTAGACAAAGACTAGAGATCAGGTAGTCCCAGTAAAAAGAACAAAAATAAGATGCTAGCCCTTCCTCCACTGCCCCGGCTGGTGGGAGAGGGGGTGTAGTGCTGGAGCCCCCAGATAGCTCTGGGGTGCAGGGGGAGGAAGGGATGGACTCCAGGGGACAGGAGAGGAGGTGATAGGGATTTCATGTGGATATCACTACTTCTCTATAAAGTATTTAATTTCTCTTTTTCTGCCAAAGTTTGGCTTGTGTTTCGAGAAGGGGTAGGTGAATCCCAGGTGTGGGGTGATACACTTACAGGTGCTCCAGGGTTGGACTGCAAATCATACTGTTAACTGTCAAGTACAATTTGTCCTTTCTTTCAATCTAGCCATCTTTTCAGAAGAATGACTGGGACAAATAGATTTTTATATTAAGATATAATGTAAATCATAAGGAGTCTGAGTCAGATTACATTTGTAAACTGGAAACAACATTAGGGAGAAGAAACTACAATATTAAGATAACAAAATTACCGTTTCCATAATGGGTTCCTATTGACAAATTCATATAGCTCCAGCCAAGAACACTTTTTAAAGATCTATGTATGCTTTTTCTCTCCTTCTTACAAACTCAACCTACAGAAAGTGAGCCTGTGAAATCCTCATTCTTCTAAACCAGGCTCTCTCCACGTTTCTGTGTCTTAAAGGCAAATTCACACTACAAGCTGCTTGATCGTACTCATTAATTCTAGTGTCTCTGCTGGGAAAATGATAGAAAAATTCAGTGACTGTTTAAATTCCCACCATCTCTTCATGCACACATCTGTATGTAATTCCAGTAACATGGTAGCAATGCCATAGCAGTCAGACAGTGGAGGAAACAGTTACAGCAAAAGAAAACCCTTAGGTAATACATTTGGGCTTGGAAAATCTGAGAAAAACCTCTCAAAAAGAGAAAAATCTCTTCTTTTGCTATCATATGTCTTTTTGCTGCTGGGTTACATCAAACCCAGTAGCAGGCATCACTGGCAGCATTTAGTGTGTGTGTGTGTGTGTGTGTGTGTGTGTGTGTGTTTTTCCTTTTTTCCTGTTTTGTTCAGAGTATTTGTAAATGAATGAGCTCAAGTGAGAACACATAATACTGATCTTGTTAGTTACCCATTTTCCCCAGCATTCTTCAAACCAAGAGTCTATAGTATTACAGAGAATCAGAAACACAGATCTCTCTCTTAACTGTGATTCTCAACAGCTTCCGTTCAGAGGGAACAATTCTTATTTCTTCCCTTCAATATAATTGGCCACTTTCGCTTTTCAAAGGGAAACTGTAAATATAGCCATTTATTTAAGCTCTATGTATTTTTTGTACTGAAAACAGACTTTGATTTTATTGTACTAGATACATAAATGAGTTCTATAGCAAGAATATAATGTCAGAGCCGCCATTGTCTTTTGCGGGGAGGAAAGATGCCCAGGCATAAGCCCTTTTGAGTTATTCTTGGCTTTTGACTAAAAGAGCTTGTAATTCCTTCCTTATTTCACATTAGGAATGTACTCTTAATGTACGTTTTTCCTACTGCTGTAAACCTCTGCGATTGGCAAGACCAACCTTCTTGTCACATATACAACCCTTGCAGCATCTCAGAGGCAGGAAAGACTCAGAGAATACCCCACAAGCAGATATTTACTTCTTAGTTTTCCCCTGCAGGGCACATATACCTTTTCATGATGCACCTCTGTAAATTTCTTTTCTGAATCTAAGTAGAAGAGAAAAATCTTTCTTTTGCTACCTCAGTCATGGATGAAAGCTTCTCTCCAACCTTTCCTGAAGATATAGATTGGTTTCGCACTTAGCCTAGCATTCACATAGGGCAGAGATTTTCCTTCCAGAGTTTGAGATTTAAAACAATTTTTTTGAAATTCAGTTGGGGCAGGGAGAGAAAAAAGAACTAGCTCTTTCCTTTGCCCATAAGCAGCATTTCCAGGTATTAGGGGATTAAATTGTTTTGTTACTCTTTTTTTTTTTTAATTTTTATTTATTTATTTATGTGTGTGTGTGTGTGTGTGTGTGTGTGCGTGTGTTTGTAGAGCTCAGCCCACCAGGGGGCGGGGCTGCCTAGCATGTGGTGCTGGGGGATTGAACCGCAATCTATGTGCTTTGCTAAGCTTGTTCTAAATAGGTGCTTTAGACCACTGAGCCATCTCACCAGCTCCTGTTTTGTTACTCTTGACGCCCTTTTGCAATTCGTAAAATTTTCAAACAGTTGAAATTTTAGGCTGGAAAGGAGCTCAGATATACATTACAGTTCATTTTACACATAACAAAGCTGACACCCATAGACCTGATGCAAAAATGCTATGATCACATGACTAGTTAAGCCATCAAAAACCTCACAGAACTTCTCTAGTAAAATGGCAGAGAAATAAATTAGATTAGTCTGCATGTCTCTTTTGAGAAAGGCCCTCTGCTGTTCTTGTGCTCGGCCTCCGAGGATTCAGGCCGGATGGGGTTGCATGGTGACGTCATCACAGCCAGGGTGGTGGAGCCCCTTGTCTTTTCTGGGCACCATCAGTTTCGAAAAGGTGAGTAGCTGGTCAGGATTTGGCTCACTTTAAATATTTCCCAGGAAAAAAGTCAATGCAATCTTGCTGCGTATGTACACTACATGCATTGTGCTATAAAGGGTCTCTACTTTCTAGGACTTTCTAAGAAAGCTCAGCAAATAGTTGGCAGAGGATCTCCTAAGCCTGAGTTGAGAGGTTCGTGTATTCTTTTTTTTTCTTACAACTGACCTGAGGAAGATTTTCCCCATGTGTCCTGTACCTATATCTCCACTATACTATGTTTCAAAATTGCTACAAGTGGCCAAAATATTAGCAATTTCGAGTAGTTCAATCTGTCTACGTAGTGGGACATTTCTGAGGTCACAGGGGTAGATCTTAAATACATTGGCTATATTTAAAACTCTTTCCTTTAGCTGTAGGAAATGATTAAGCACCCATTACATGGGAAGGTAATTTGGAAAAAAGGGAGCTGAAAGAAAAATGGACAAGGCTAGCCAGGCATTTAGCTCTTTCCTGGAGTGGCCCTTTTCAGATATGCAGGGGCTTAAAATAATTAACTCCAACTAATCAAACCTGGACTCATCCTTCTCTTTCATTTAATGTCATGTAGATGCCCTCTGTGGGCACTTAATTACTTTTATTTAATAACTACGCATGAGTTCATGTGTGTGTGTGTGTGTGTGTGTGTGCGCGCGTAAATTCTTCTCATGCTTATGGCTTGGATTGAGCATGTGCCCTCAGGTGCCCCCAGGCAAAGGTTTTGGAAGGTGACTGAGCCAGGGCAATGCAGTAGACTTGCATTAGGAGGAGGTGGTGATGGTGGTGAAGGGGGTTCCATGCTTTGGAAGACTGAGACCACCATAAAAATAAAATTGAAAGCAAGCCTCTAAAACAGTGGTTGAATCCCACAGAGCCATGTGATGGATGAAATTAAACCTGCCAGGTCACCTTGTGGAGGCAGGGAGTTATCCAAAGTCTACGAATGGGAGATCTCTCAGCCAAAGGCAGCCGGAGTTAGGGACAGATGGTTGGAAGAGGCGGGTCCCTGGAGGGTGAGAGACCTCCCTCTGGCTCCTCCCTTGCACCAGGAGGTGAGCAGCTCCCCTCTGCCTCCACCAGACCCTCTGCCGGCCTTCCTGCCCAGAGCCAAGTGACCATGGACTGTAACTGTGAACTAAATTAAACCTCTCCTCCTTTAAGTTGTGTCTCAGTGGTAAGAAAGTGACTAAGACAATTATCAATAATCCACACTAGAATGTGCCAGTTGCTGGAGGTGTCAGGTGCCAGGAACACTGTATTCTGTCAGACCGAATTGTTTCTGACCTGTCTCTCAATGCCGAGACTATAAAGGCAAAAAAGAAATAGGACAAAGGCTTACTCCAGTCATTTCACTGAAACCATTTGGCTTCATAACATAGGGATGAATTCACCTCAAAGTTAAAATTTGCATGCAGGGCTTTGGTCTGCCTTACCTGAAGAATCTTGTCGCCAGGCTGTAGTAGGTTGGATGCTGGCCCATCAGGCTGAACCCTAGTAACAAAGATACCCTATAAGTCAGAAGTGACAGAGGTTAGGGCTCGTTACCAACAACCAGGGCTACTGCAATCAATCTTCATTCACAGAAAAAACAATAAGCATAGATCTTAACAAGTTTAAACATGCCAGCTTTAAAATTGCTATCATGTTTTAGGTAAGGTACCACTCTTCAAAACAAGTTAAGAAAACTAACATGTTTGTTTGCACAAAAAGCTAATTTTTATGATTTACAAATTGATCTTGTGCCATTCATAATCTTCCTTTCTTCCTTCTTTTTACCCATTTATCTCTTTCTTCCCCCCCCCCCATACTTGAAATTAAACCCATGGCCTGCACCTTTAGCCACATCCCCAGTCCTTTTTAAAATTTTGAAATAAGGTCTTGGCAAATTGTGTAGTTGGGCAAGCTGAGTTCCAAGGCATAGCCCTCCTGCCTCAGCTGGGAGGCACCCGCACATCCAGTTCAAAATACTTCCTTCTTAAAATCATTAGAAACATGATTAGCAGCCATCTCTCATTTGTCTTAGGTTATTCTATATTGAAAATGTTCACTATTTAATAAACTAAAAAGTCAGTGTCTATATTAGTTCATTTTAACAAGTTAGTTACTGCATATATATTGTGGGTTTGACCGTAACACACATAGGGACAAGTTGAACTTGAGAAAAATCCATCATGCATTTTATCTTGCTGACAAGATCTTGCTGAATCACTAGGCGGCCCACCTTAGCCTCAAACTGTGTTCTAGCTTCGACTGGAGTGTTGAGTTTATGCATGTGTGTGGCCACCCCGCCCAGCTCAGCATGGATTTTAAATCAATTTTATGTTTACATAGTTCTAAATCCCTAAATTGATTTAGTTCATAAAAAGCCAAGTTGATTTTATTCCTCACCCATACGAAGGGAACATTTATTGAATGTCTATCACGTGCTGGGCCTTGGTTGCTAGCACTAGACAAATAAACAAAAAAATAGTTTCTGACTTCATTGAGCTCACAATTTAGTGGAACACAAGTAAAGAAAAAAAAAAAAAAAACCCTAAAAGCAGAATTGCATGCATTATGAGAGAGGCAGAACAGAAGGTAAGAAATGCTGTATCTATTTCACTTTGTGTCAGGGCTTCCAAAGGAAGGAGCCCGCTGACCGCTCAACCCTGCAGAATGACCAAGGGCGCCCACACCTTCAAGGAGAGGAGGACACTTCAGGGTGAGGCAGCAGCACGTCCACGACCCATGCTGCAAGCTTGGGAAGCTGCCAGGAGTGATGGCGAGAAGGGTGATGGAGGGCAGGTATGGAGGGCCTGGATGTGCCAGGCCTGCTCTAAGGGCTGGTCAAGGCCAGGTCAGAGTGGACTCTCTCAGCCCTTCTTCTTCTCAGGGTGAGGAGCAGAAGGATTTCACACCTCATCATGACAAGATTTTAATTGACATCCAAAGGCTGAGTGAACAATCAATAAATAAAGTGGGGTCCAGCAGGCTATCACGACAACAAAATGAATGAAGTTCTGATCCCCCCCACAACACAGGGGAACCTTGGCAATCCTATACTAGTGAAAGAAGCCAGTCACCAAAGGTCCCCTGTAGTAGAATTGCATTTACATGAAAAGTCAAGGTCAGGCAAATGCAAAGAAAAAGCTGAGTGCTGGCCAGGGCTGGGCAGGAGCTGGCCATGGCGAGGGTTTCCACAAGGTCTTGCCTCTGCCTTTTCCACGCTTTCATTTTCCTTCTTGCAAATCTGGGTATCAAATTCAGGGGCTCACCCAGGCTAGCCAAGTTCTCCGTTCCTGAGCCGTGCCCACCCCAGCACTGTACCCCAGCCCAACATTTCTTTCTGAAGGTACTTAGTAATGTACTTCAAATGTATAAACTTTATGGCATGTGAATTATATCTCAATTCAGCTCTTATCAATTTTTAAATTCCTGAGAATTATTAATAAAAATACAAGATAATATTTTAATATCCTCGCCTTTCCTTTAGAAAATCATGTCATTTGCTCCTCTCAAAACTTAATGACTCTCATGGAAACCCCAAACTGTGCATGTCTGTGTAAATGGTTTAATAAACTCGAATTAAACTACTCATATTGTAATTTAATATTTCAGATCTCTATGAAACTAATTTAAAGCTTTCGAATGATCTTATGCTTTTTGATTTTAATATTTTCCTTCTTATTTAAAGATGAAATGGCAGAAAGGCATCAGAATCTCAAGAGAATGTTACAACTTCTAACTGTAATTAGGTTTCTAGAACCAACTGAAAATTCAATCTATATGCACCAAGAAGTTTATCATTATGTTGCTTGTAATTACAAAAATACAAACTTCAGCCACAGTCTAATAGTAGTGCACGGACTGAAGAAATTTTGTTAAGTCCATACACTAGGATAATATTTGGTCATTAGAAATGAAGCCCTAGAAGGCTAATATAGAAATATATGAATGTTTAGTAAGTAAAGAATTTATAAACACTGAGGTATGATACTATTTGTGTTGAAATTTATTTATATGTCATTTCAGTTACTCTTCTCTCCTTGCTGGGACAAAGACTCGACACTCAAAATTAGGGAAGGAAAGGTTGATTTAGCTCACAGTTACTGGAGGTTTCAGTCTGTAATCAGCTGGCTCCAAGGCAGAGGGGCACTGGGCACAGAGCGATCTTTCCCAGAGGCAGCACAGAGCAGAGTGCACAGGGAGTGGCCGCCACTCAGCCAGCAGCTCGCCTCACACTGTAATGCAAATCACCTGCTCCAGGGCAGGTGCAGCATCCACGCCCACCTTAATCCCAAACTCCAGGAGCCGCCCCATGGCTGCATGAGGTTTTGGGGGGACATCTAGACTTAAACAGTAGCATGCATATTTCTGTGAGAACATCTGAGTGTGTATATTGGTGTGGATGCACAAAAACATCAATAGGGGTTACCCAGGGTAACGAGAACATCTTATTTTCCCCTTAACTCTGTTTCCTTACTTTACCATAGTGATTATGTATTACTGATGGCATTTGGAAAACCAAAATAACTTTGCTAAATTTTAGGTTCCTGGCAACACCATTCAGAGTGATGTTTAAACACCTTTTGCCAATTTAATTGTACAATAGCCAATTCCCAAGGGGGAAAAAAGCTAGTTATTTGAAAAAGGACAGTTAAATTAAGGCAGAATGACTACACCAGCTCACTGAATGGCACTGGAGACAGTAATATAGCCGCCCAGCCCTCCCGCACTGGGGATGTAGCTCCCAAACTCCACCTATCCACAGAGCTCAGGATACTGTCAGTCCCCTTCCTGCCCCTCTCCCCCCCAGTATCTCCACTTTGTGGTATTAAGGTCTCTATACAATAAGTAGGATGACGTTATTGGCCCAAATAAGTCCCTGCATCTCTGGTGGCTGAGAGTGAAGTTGTTTTGACTCTTCTTTCACCCTAGCAGTCAGAGTCTCTGCTGCTGCATTAATTCTGACTGCTGTTCACCAGGTACAGTTGAATATGGTTAGTAGGAACCCAGACCACTGGAACTGAATTAATTGCACCTCTGCATCTGTGTGGCCGGGAGGAACCCACAGCCCTCTGCAATGTGACTGCTGAAAGAACCCCAATATGGTGTCCTTCTACTAATTTCCACCTCTTAAGGTCCCCGAATTCCCAGTAGTGCCAAGCTGGGACCGAACCTGGATACATGGGCCTTCAGTGGTCCCTTGAGATCCAGGTAATAGTAGAAGCCAAATTCCAACAAGTAGCTTTTTCTCGGCCATCTGTCCCTATCTCCGGGGACCTTTCATTCGTAGACTTTGGATAACTCCCTGCCTCCACGGGTGACCTGGCAGGTTTAATTTCATCCATCACATGGCTCTGTGGGATTCAACCACTGTTTTAGAGGCTTGCTTTTAAGTTTATTTTTACGGCGGTCTCAGTCTTCCAAAGCACTGACTGATTTTTCCTAAAGCTTTGTTATTTCTTTTAAATCAACAAATTTCAACAACTAAGAATCTGCTACTGCCCATTAGTATACTTCCTATTCTCTCTGTGCATCCGAGCAGGCAGCATGCTGTCATGTTAGTGGAGCTAGACAAAATGAGGGCTTCATCTGATAAGGGTCCATGGCATTCATTATTTGTGGAGGTGAAATGCTTCCCAGAAGACTTCCACAAAGGCCAGCACTTGAATGTCATGCTGTATTTATGTCTAGAAACATTGCCATTGGAAAGAAACAAGCTAAATCCGAGTCCATTTTGCAGTCTGTTGTGACGAAGTGGTAAAAATATAAAAACTTTAACACAGCTCTGAAAAAGTTCATCACAGTAATGTGTCACCCTTTCAACAGCTCATTTGATTCTGAGACTTCAAAGAATACTTCAGCCCTGATGACAGAATTTGGCAGGAAATCACAATACGCTCTTTGTATTCTGAATATTGGACAATGAGCTTCCTCCTTATGAAGACTCACAGTGTTTTCAAATCTGAGTCTGCATTGTGTGTATCAAAGATCCAAATGGGGGCATCTTGTCAACCATATAACTCTGCTAGCAAGATCCAAGATGTTAAGTTCCTTGTAATATTCACTAGAGTGCTAATGTGGGAAAAACTATCATGCACCACAGTTAAACCTACCGAAACAACTTACTATCTGAAGTTATGAAGCAAATCATCTTATGGAAGAAGGGAAAAAACCTCATTTCTCCCAACAGGGCAGAAATATAACATAGTTCTACCACTGCTATAGCAAACTATCACCAGCAGTGGCTTAGAGCATCCCAACTTTATTATCTTACAATTCTGTTGGCTAGAATTCCAATATAGGTCTTACTGGGCTGAAACAGATGCTGGAATGGCTGAATTTTAATAACAAGCTGTCTTTCTGACAGTGCATTTCACCCTGCCTTTTCTTCTTCCTGGGAATGCCCACATTTCTCTGTTCATGGACCCTTTTGTCCATGAGACCTGGAATGATGCAGCTCTCTGGCTACTTTGCAGTTGCCTCATCTCCCTGTGACTACAGCTGGGAACGAATTCAGCTTCTA